TACTACCGTTCTACTACGTTTGGACCTTAAATTCTACTCTCTCTCTCTCTCACACACACTCTCTCTCTCTTTCTCTTACAATAGTATTTTTTTTTGAAACCCACGTGTTTGTTCGTTTGTGTAAGACATTTAAATTGTAAGACGGGGAAAAGTTTTGTTTGAAATTCGTTTGTGGGTATTTACTTATAAATAATAATAATAATAATAATAATAATAATCAAGGACCGATTGAATGTTTTTCACGTAAATTTTTTTTTTTTTTTCTTCCTCCTCCTTTTCTCCCGGTGGGTTTTACATTTTGGAATTGAATGCTTGTTTTTTTTTTTTTTTCTACCTTCTTCCCCTCGTTCCCTTTTTTTTTTTTTTACTTCCTTTTTTTTAGATTGCCAAAAATCACACAATGGGTCTCATTATCGAAGGTTTCTTAACCGTTGGTCTTTACCATTTTTCTTTTTTCTTTGAAAAGTTAATTAAAGTTATTCGGAATATTTTTTTTTTTATACCTGGTTTTTTTTTTACACGTGTGAAAGGGTCGTAAGGTAAAAGGTCGTCGTCGTCGTCGTCGTCAACGTCGTTTTTATTTATTTTTTTTTTTTTTACGTGTAATTTTCAAGAACGACGACCGTTGCGCTTAAACCGCAAAAACCAGAAGGTCACGATTATATACTATCTAGCAAATAATAATAATAATAATAATAATAATAATATTTTCATACGACGACGAGGACGACGAGGACGACATTGAACTTAAAAATGACACGAGGAAACAAACAATACAATTAAACGAAAATCAGCTTTTTTTTTTTTTTTAAATTAATTCGTTTCACGATTAAATAACGATTGTGGGGAGCGTAACGAATAGAAAATTTTGCAAATTTTTTTTTTTTCTTAAACAAACGACAACCATGGGAACAAACAAAAACGAAACCCGAAAAAAAAAAAAAAATTTCTCAGGAAGGAAACAATTCAATAACCCCAAAAGGTAAAAGGGAGGAAGAAAGGAAGGAAGGAAGGAAAGAATTCTTTGAATTTACTTACTTTTTCTCCTTCATTGAAAAGGAAATGTATTATTATTATTATTATTATTATTATTATTATTATTATTATTATTGCTTCCATCTCTATTGATCGGTTATAAAAAAAAAAAAAAAAAAAAAAAAAACCGTCAACGGTGATTTTTACTTTCGGTTGCAGGAGCCCTGCACGTAAGTAAAACGCACAGCAACCCTATTTGCGATATCAAAAACAAGATTCATTCAACAATACAAAATAGCACCTTTGGATTTTCTCTCTCTCTCTCTCAAGATGACGAAATGAGTCCATTTAAATTTTAAATCTCGATTTGTTTTTTTTCCAATTTGTTCAGGTACGATCGTCCCGATACCTGATTACGTTTCTTCATTCACAAAAAGAAAAAAAAAAAAAATGGAAACGTTTGGGTTAACCGTCGAAGAATTCGTTGTCGTTTTGCTTTACCTTTATGATCATCATCATCATCATCGCGATGACGTCAGACGTAAAGGTGAAGAATTTTCGATATTAATTTTTTTTTTTCTGTCGTTTTGTTTTTTTCAGAACCCGATTTCGTACACGTTCCACCGTCCGTCATTGCCACGGCTTGCATATGTTCGGCCGTGAGAGGACTCAGAATCGCATCCTCCGACATAGCTTTAAAATCCATATGTGCCTTGTTGAAATTATCATGTCCGGAAGACATTGAAATAGTCATAAATAGAATCGAAGAGGTTTTCCAAGCGGAAGCTGCGGCTTTTCAACAGCAACTTCAACAACAACAACAACAGCTACAACAGCAGCAGCAGCTGCAGCAACAACAACAACAACAATCATCTTTATCGAGCAAAGGATCCGGTTTGCAAAATTTGTCGACGACGACGAACGCCGGGGCGGCGGCGGTGAAGGAGGAAGACACGGTCGACGGTCATCCGGAAACTCCGACGGATATTCAAGACGTTCACTTTTAGCAAAAGATGGTAAAGACGAGGAAGAGGAGAGAAGCCCCAAGAAGCCAAAAGTAAAAATGCCAAATTTTTTTTACCCAAAAAAAAAAAAAAAATTAATTATTATTTATTAAAAAAAAAAGTTGTTATAGTTGATAGTAATAATAATAATAATGATAATGATAATAATGATTTAAAAGAGAGAAAAATAGAAAAAGATAGATAAATGAATTAATATATAATATATATATATATATATTATTTAAAAAGAAAAAGATAAAATATCTTATTGTTGTAAATAATGTCATATAATTAAGTAACTTTTTTTTTTTCTTTTTTTTTTTCTTTTTTGTTTGTTTGTTTGTTTGTTTGTTATTACAAGTCGTTTGTCTTATAAAAATGGCTGCCTTAAAAGTGCCTTAACTTGGAAAAAGAAAAAAAATTCTTTTTTTTTTTTTTTTTTTGTGATTTTTAATTTTTACTTAAGTTGTACATTAAAAGAAAAAAAGAAAAAGTTTTTTCCGTTTTTGTTCATGGAGAGAAAAAAAAACTGGAGAAAAAAAAACAAAAAAGCTGGAGAAGAAAAAAAAACTGGAAAAAAAAATGAATTGTTAATTTAAGAGGAAAAAAAAAAAAATTTGTAAATAGAAAAAAATGAAAATGAAAACGAATTATTATTATTATTATTATGATTATGTATCATGGAATGGATTGTGAGTGTGAGTGTGCGGGTGCGTGTGCGCGCGTGTTTATTATTATTATTATTTAACAAGGGCAAAAAGGAAAAGAGATGAAGAATTTTTTAATTTTATATTTTGAAATGAATTTTTTTTTTTTTCTATCTTCGTAAATTTTCATTTCCGGTTTTAAGGTGTAAAGAAACGAAAAAAATAATAATGATGATGATGATGATGATAATTTTAACGCGGAACGATGACGAATTTTCTTGTTGTTGATCTCAATAATAATAATAATAATTTTTTTTTCTTTAAAATGAAAAAGGAAAAAAAATGGAAACGGAAGTACAATTAACGTAGTAGCCTGATTTAAATAAAAAAATTTATTAATATAAATAAATAAATAAATAAATGATAGATAAAGAAGATAAAGCTTCTGCTCTCACACTGCCATTTTTAAAAATAAATAAATAATTAAATAGATAATAAATAAATAAATTTGAATGAATGAATGAACGAATGAGTGTTATTATCGCGTCATTTATGAAATTTCACGTGTTTTTTTACCGCCTTTTTTTGCCGATATGAATATTATTATGATTATGATTATTATTATTATCATTATTATTATTAATATTTTGTAACGTGTTTTTGTCATTCCAATGTAATTCAATTTGTTAATTTTTTTATTGATTTTTTATTTTTATTTTTTTTTTTCGGGGGGCATTTTTTTAAAATGAAAAATTATTATTATTATCATTAATTACTTTTTCTACTGCTACTATTATTATTATTATGATTGGTTTAAAAGTTTTTAAGAGGAAAAAAAAAATGAAAATTCGTGCAAAGGATTTGTTTGTTATTTAACGTTTTTATTTTTATTATTTTTTTTTGTGCGTTGAGTAAGCATAGAGTAAGAAATTTTTTTATAATGAAAGAATCGATCAAACTCGCGATATATCGATCTGTCGCAGAAATTTTTTTTTTTTGTTTTTTTTTTATCGAAACTTGAATCATTGCCTCGCTCACACTCTCGTGCCTTATTTTTTTTTCTCCCACCGAAGATGGAAGGATGGTGATAAGGGTAGATGCTGATAAGAAGTTAACGGTTTTTTTAGAGTGATGACGTCACGAACGATGACGATTCATAACTCTTTTAATTTAATTAAATAATAAATGAAATGATCGCGAATTTAAAATAAATTTTATTTCACTCCCTCCCCCTTCCCCTCCATTTTTTTAATTATTATTATTAATTAACGATATAGGAAGCGCACATGTTATTATTATTATTATTATTTTGTTTTTTAAAGGTACCAAAACCAAAACAAAAAGAAAAAAAATGTAAAATATTTGAGTGTTTGTTTGTGTGTTACAAAAAAAATTATTATTATTATTATTTTAATAACTTGTACATGTATAAATTTTTTTTTTAATTTTTTTTTTTATATTTAGTTTGATCTCATGGATGATTTACCGGTTATTATTATTATTATTATTATTGTATTAAAGGAGATTTACTAGGAAATTAGTTTATCTTCTATCCCTCTCTCTCTCTCATAAGTAGAGTGAGAGAGAAAATTTTTTTTTATTTTTATTATTGGTCATTTAGTTTTTATATATATTGTAGTTGATAAAAGCCATTTATGTAAAGTGATAACATAAAATTAAGGTTTTTGATAGGGAAAAAGGAAAAAAGGAAATTATGGTTATGTAAAAATTAAATTAGAAAAAAAAAGGAAAGGAAAGGAAAGAAAAAAGGAAAATGTTGTAGTTTTGAATATAAGTTTGATTTTTTATTAATATTATTATTGATGAAAGGAGATGAAGTCTCTCTTTCTCTCTCTCTCTGTTTTTCTTTTTTACATTCCAATATAATAATAATAATGGTTAAATATTTTAATTTTAAGTTTAAATTTTTCTTGTAATATTTTCAAAAAAAAAAAAAATGTGTAAAAACAAAAAAAGTTTTTTGTTTTTTAATTTGTTTTACAGTTGAAATTGTGTTTAAATAAATAAATAAATAAATAAATTGTTTTTAATAATAAATGCTGTTTATTCTTATTTTTTTGTTGCTAAACAAAATTTTTCCATTAACTTTAGTTTTGTTTTATTATTATTATTAAATATTTCAATACAGTCTTACAAAAAACAATGAGGGTTTATTAGGGTTGTAAAATTTTATTTTATTGGCCTCGTTTTTCTATTTAATATTAATATTTCAATAGATTTAAGTTTAATAAAAGTCATAGAGTATAAAATTAAAAGAATTTTGCAATTGGAATAATGTCAATTAGGTAAAAAATAATAATAAGTATGGTGAATTATATATATATGCATGAAAAACCGTTGAAAATAATTCAAAATGGCGCCTTCGAATAGGTGGCAATATTGTAATAAGTTGTCGCCATTTTGCGAACGTGGTTCTAATTCCACGGTAATTCTCGTTTTCAACTGGACGCTACCAAACAGAAAATTAATGTTTTTTTATTTGTATTCTGCATGGGAAACGATTAAGATTGCGTCAAGAATCCCCTGGCATATTATTAAAGTAAGATTTATAAATTTTATACATATCAGTATTATATAGTATTGGAATCGGAATTAAATTAAATAGGCAAAGAAAAATTTTCCAAATGTCAATTTATTAAGATGGAACCTCCCATCTTCATCAAAGCAAATTCAGGTGAGAGATTGAAATTAATTATTTGAGAATTTGCAGATTATGGAAAACTTGGGTAGGATATATGGTCTCGAGTGAGTTGTTGATATCATCTCGGTGTTTAATTTAATTTTCAATAATGTTTTATTTTTAATTAATATGCAAATAATGATAATATGATCTTTTTGTTTTTTAAATTTCAGTGGGATCTTCAATTATAGAAGAAAGTCTACTAAGTATGGAGGAACTTGATCGTACCTCCCCTGAACTGTGGCCCGAACAGAGTAAGTTCAATAATATTGATCAAATCGATTGTTTCGCCAAAACACAACATCAACTGTTGTTTCCTAACGAAACACTCGAAAACACTCGAACTTTATATTTGAATGATTTCTTAATGTTTGCGGTTTTTAGTTCCAGGGGTGTCTGAATACATAGCGAATACTACATCATTTGGAAAAGGACAAACATGGATGAAAGGATTAGATAATGATGATAAAGCATTTTTATTATGTAAGTTTTTTTCAATAATTGTATTTGTTCATTAATTATTATTATTATTACATATTTCATTATAAATTATGTTCAATGTAGATTTAAGCAAATTGACTCCTTCCGGCTTAGTTTCCGAAGTTAAAAAATTATATGATACAGCTTATCAATTAGGATGCGAAGAATCGAAAGAAATGACTCGAGGAAAATATTTAAAAGTATTGTTAAAAAAATCAAATTCTGGATCTACTTAAGACTTTATTTTGTTTTTTTTATTAAAAATAATACACAGTGTTAATAAGTATCAATCGAATGAAAATAAAAATCGAACTGAATATTGACATCTAGTCTTTAAATTTAAATTTATATTTGAAAAAAAGAAACATTAAAAAATCATATCTTCTTTTTTTTTCAACATGCATCATGTATGTACAAGTTATGTTTTAATAAATAGTTATGTAAATAAACAAAAACAATGACAATGAATGAAAAAATAATGATTGTGTCATAAATAGTTATTAAGTATTTTCATGTTACTCGAACGAAAAACAATTGTTAATTTAAATTTACTTATGTACATAAATATTATAATTAGTTAATAATAATAAATAAAACAAAATTATTATTTTTTTCGATTTTAATATGTAATGAAAATTGACAAAAACTGTAAAAATTTATTATTATTAATAATAAAATAAATTATTTTTTTAACGTTACTCAAAGTTTATTATTATTCCTGACATTCGTCGGTTTAAGATAAAATTTTCTTCCAAAGAGGAAATATGGTCTAAAATGTTTCTCGTTCCATGTTCTAATTTCAAATTATTTTTCAATATCAATTTCCCACTTGGTCGTGGCTCTAGATTTTTAATTTCAAAACAATGGTTGGAAGACTCTAAAGACTAATTGTGATTGGCTCAATTATTTGATCTGTTGTTCATGTGTTTAAAATGGTGGCATGAGCTTTATTTTCATTGTTTACCTTCACAACAGCCCGAGACGAATAAACATCTTTCACAATTTTTAAATCAGGTACTGTACCTTCTTTTATTTTAGAACTATTTATATTTATTGTAAGTAGAGTTTCCGCTCTCGCTTTTAAATAAATTTTATTTGAAGATAGAATTTCTTCTGAAAGTAAGTCTAACGGCTTTGAAATTTCTTTTTTTTGACCCAGGAGAAATGGTTTTTACCCACTCAGACTTACCATCGCCGCCTGTTAAGGGTAAAATGTTGAAAGATAAGTGCTAGTTGTTGATCACATCCTCCCTAACGGTAAATTGGGGATCGAAAGGTAGGAAGATCGACCGGGGACGCCGATCCCCCAAGAAATGTTAGAAGTAAGTAAATATGTGTGTATGTGTACTCATTGACGAAGAATTTACATTCGCCGCTGCAGCACCCATATCTGTCCGTCTAAAGAATCCTAGTCGTCGTCTCCTCATCGAATTTTCTTCTTCCGGAATTACCCTTTGAGAGGCGGTCGTGATTTGCCACGTCACTCGCGCCTCCGTGGCAGGAGCCGCGAGTTTCTGGACCGAGCGACGCCGAACGGGTTGCCACTCCCGTCCGACCTCTCCTGCAATCCTTCGCTTCGCGTTCCTGCTGCTTTCCTGGTGGGAGAGATCGAAGATGCACACCTGAAAATAGACGATTAATCCCCGTTTTCCCCGACAATCTCCTGACGTAGCGCAGGTCTGAAAGCGTCCGCTGCGCTTTGCCTCCTAGAAGCTGGATCACAGGAGCCCGCCACGACTCCCGACCGAAGAACGCCGACGCACCGAAGCCGGGACGAATCTCCCCCCGACATAATCGACCAAGAGATCCGGAGCCCGACTCGGAGTACCGGGACGAATCCTTTCCTACCTCGTGCCTCGGGAGACGGTCGGGACCTCCCACGCCGTTCGCGCCTCCTCCGCAGAGACGAAGTGAGCTTCCGGAGCCGTTTCACCCCTGCCATCTTCCAGATGACTCCGTAGATTCGAAGAGCGAGAATCCGTTGCCCAGCCTCCGACGTCGTCGCTCGTCAACACTATCGTCGCCGTTTTCTTCAACTTCTTCTTTGCCGCATGAGTGATTCGCTCGTGCCATCCCACGCTTGCTAACCACTCGCGAGAATTGGGAGCTTCCGGAGAGGAATCGCTCCCGCGTGGACAAATTTTCCCGTGATCCCAAGGAATATCATAAGGACGTTACTCGTCTGGTTTAGGATATGAAATTTAGTGGTTATAAACTTCCATCAAATTCAAGTGGGATTTCACAAGTACCAACTGTCTCCAGGTATTGGTTTGGACTGATCGCTTGAAGTTTCGCCTTTTCTTTAGGATTGAATTTAGTATTAGGTGTTAATTTGCAAGCTTTCATTAAGTTTATTCCAGGAACCTGTATCTAAAATGAGTCGTAATGAGTTAGGGGACCGTATCCTTACAAAATTTAAACGTCCGTCATTAATGAAGAGTTTTATATTTCGGACACCTTCTCATGGCGTATCGAATCCTCCAGTTCGGTGTCCTCCACTGGGGGGATTCTTGGATGTTTAAATTTACGGTCTTTTCAACAACTCGTTTTGGAGCCGGAATGTTCTGACTTCTTTTCCTTAAATTAAAGTCTTCATAGCGTGCACTGTTTCTATTTTTCAAAAAGCAATCTTCCATTACATGTCCGGATTTCTTGCAATATTGACAGGTTTTAGAATTTTGAACCAAATGTTTTGGCCTTGATTGCTATCCCGACATGTTATGATTACATTCTCAGGACTTACAGGGTTTATTATCTCTTGTCCTTTTCAAGTCTCTTTCTTCAATAATGGCTGCTGAATATGCTGAATTTAAGTTGTCAAAGTCTCTCCATCTTAACATCTGGGATATTCTTGGGTGTGTATGATGAATGAGACGACTTAAGGTTATATTATTAACCTTAATCCTTATCTTTCCCCTTAATATCTAAATTTAAACTTGACCTAACTTAACAGGTCATAGTTTCTAATCTTTGGTAAAATTCTTTAACTGTTTCATCAGGCTCTTGTTTCAATTCTTCCATGAGTTGAATATGATGTTTCTTATCTTGGTATAATTCTATTAGTTTTGCTTTAACGTCAACCCAATTATCAAATTTATATACTGGAATTTTATCCTTAGCCTTTCCAGTAATTCTAGAGTATATGAATCTGAAAAGTGGATATTTAATCTCTCCTCCGGAGAGAGACTTAGAGCATAATCACAATTTGAAATGAACTCGTCAAGTTGATCCCTTTCTCCAGAAAAGAAAGTTGGAATTAAACTGCACAAAAATGTTAAGGAAATTTGAGATGAATAAACAGGGTTTGGATCTATCCTAGGCATTATTCGCAAATAAGCACCTTCTTAATTACTCACAGGAACAAATTTGTATTCCGATCAAGAGTTAAAACTCACCAACAAGAGACAAATTTTTCAAAAAAATTTTTATGGCCTCCCGCTGTCCGGAATATCCTACCGACTGCGGCAATTTTATGTTGTGAGCAAAAAGGATTTTACTTTAATCGCGAACAACACACTTAATCACTAAATTATTTTAAAGTTCTTAGGAGATGTTTTTGATCAAAAAGCTCCGTTGACCTGGGAGCTGCCTTTTTATAGTTTTCCATGATTGTTATTGTTATGTTTCCAAAGGACTGGCAGTCTTTCCGAACATAAATAACAAAAAACTCCCATTGGAAAAAATAGTCTCTGCGTCTATAGTTACACACATAGATTCTTATACAAGCTTACTTACTCATAAAATGAAACCTTCCCGAATGGCTTTTTCGGTCAAACTCTGCTCTTCACATTGTTTATAACTCGCCCGCTTGGCGGCGACGGATCCCTAATATCTCTTGCTTACGTTCACGGCTCTTCTTCCTCTGATCTCGCGTTCCTCGCGAAACGCGAGATTGCTGACCACTCCCTGGGATCTCAAAGAAAACTCTTCACTAATTCCCTAATGGTCAGGTCCCCCCAATAACCTGAACGAGGCGTCGCTTATCATCGCCTCATTCGGGCTTCTCTGCTGTGTTCGGCACACCTTCGTCTCATCTCTGCCGATACGCGCAAGGTACGAACCAAAAACATGCCCCCTCGGTATTTGCGTGAGACGAAAAGAAAACGCCCCATGCTCATGTCTCACCATTCCGAGATACGCTGTCCTAGTATGCGTACGATTTTCCTTCCGTAATGTTTCCGCCGTCTCCCAGGCGTGCCCGGAAAGCCTCAAGTATTTACTTACGAAACGCGTCCTTCCTCGACCTTCCATCTCCGATAGAGAATAAGCCTCTCCTACGCAAGAAGATCAAGAGGAAGCGTCCCTGACAAAACGCAAGCTGCGTCCGCGGCGACGCCCCATACGCCAACACCATCCTATTTAGAGACGCGCGTTGGAGCTACATCGCTCCCTGCCTAAGGAGCCTGAAGCCGGCAACGGATTCTGCCCAAACCGGCGCCCCATACAGACCTATGGAGTGAACCATAGTTATGTATAGCTTTCTCGCTGCAACCCTAGGGCTCCGAAGATTAAGCATTAATCTCCCCAAGGACGCACTAGTCGCGATGACGGGCAGTCCTCGGCTCGCCGCGACCCCGTATGCGATAAAGGACGAGTCTCTCCATTGCCAGGAGGTCGAGCGGGGGAGCGCCCGATAGAAGACAAGCCACCTCCGCCGAGACGTCTCTGTACGTTCGCTCAGTCGCCACCTTGTTCAAAGACGCCCTTTGGAGTTGGATCACCTTCTCGAGAAGAGCCGAGCTGCCGAAACCGGAGCTTCATACAGGGCCACGGAGTGAACGATCGCCGCGTATAATCGCCTAATCCTGGCCTGCGGTCCGCGCCGGTTCGGCATCAGGACCCTAACGTCGCGCTGACGGGTCAGATCTTCAGTCCGAGGTGCGCCAGATGTTCCCCGAAGTAAAGACCGGAATCGAGAACTAAACCCAAGTATTTTAGCGAGCCCCCAATCCGATTCTTACGTTGTCCACGGTTAACGATAAGTCGCGAGGACGCGGGTTGCGCGGACGATGAAACCCGCAAGCTTCCGTCTTCGGCGGAGATACCCGGAGACCGGTGTCTCGGATGGCCTCCACCGTCGCGTTAAGTCCCGTTTCGGCGCGTTCGCGGACCTCTGCCCACCCGCGACCGGTAGCGAGGAGCAGAGTGTCGTCGGCGTAGCAAGTCAACGATACGCCTTCGGGAAGAACGGTCCGGGTGAGGACGCGGTCGTAGGCGACGTTCCATCCGCAGAACACGTCCGCCCTCTCCGCCATTCCGTCCGGTTTCTCGTACGCAATCTTCCTCTCCGAGAGAAAGGAGCTGATGATCGACATCAAGTAGTCGAGGACGGACTTCGACGCCAGTCCGTCCCTTATCGCAGACCACCGTACCGAATGAACGCGTTTTTGATGTCAACCGAGACGGCATTCGCGACGTGGCCTCGACGAAGAGTTTCCCGGATTCCGGCGCACACGCTGTCGAGTGCGTCTGTCATCGAACAGTCCGCCCGGAAGCTGTACTGATTCAGAGAGAGGTCCGTCCTCCGTCCCCCTGAGCCCTCTACGTTCAGAAGACAATTCGGTCGATACGAGCTCGGCGTCGAGCAACACGAGGTTGGCTTCTTTCCGTGTTGTCGGAAATGTCGCCTCTCGGAAGCACTCGGTGTAGAGCGCCGAGAGACGCGCACACAGCTCCCCTGCAGATTCACCGATGCTGCGGTAATGCACACAGTTCGGGCCCGGAGCCGAGCGCCTCTTCGAGGCCGCGTCGAGGAGGAGGCGGACCTCCCCCTCCGTCACTGCGGCGTCGCGATTTTCGTCGTGAGGGAATGCGCTAAGGAAAACGCGAACGGTTCGACGCGAGGGAAGAGCTCTGCGATCACTTCGGCGAGAAACTTCTCCGTCATGTCGACCGTCAGCAGTCCCGACAAACCCCTCAGTTTATTGGTCACGAGACGAAACGGGAGACCCCACGGATCCAAATCTACTTAGCTCGGGAGTTCCTTCCAATACGCCTCCTTGGAAATCCATATCGCTCGGCGAACCCGAACCCGTGAAGCCCTCCACTCCGCCTTTAAACTCGCGTCTTCGTTCACGATGTCCTCGTAGCTTCCGCCTTGTTTGATCAGTAGTTTTGTTCGGCCAATGAACCGGCGACGTGCGGGACAGGACTCCTTCCGCAACTCTCCTATCTCGTCTGTCCACCAGTACTTCGGCCGTTTCCGCGTCTTTGCGCGCGAACCGACCCTCTTCGTGCAAGAGTCCGAGATCCGTCGCAAGTCGTTTATTTCGGGCACGCTTCTTATCGCGCCTGGGGTAACTTCATTTTTGCAGGCCTTCGCGACGAGGCACTCGGCGAGGCGTTCTTCGTCGAACGATCCCAGGCTCCACCGGGGCGGAACGACGCGAGGCACGTCGGACGAGGAGGCTACCCCCCTCTGAGCTCCGAGGAGCCCCGAACGAGAACGCCACGTAGGCGTGATCGCTCGGGGACTCGAAGTCGGAGAGGACCTCCCAGCCGAAGACCCACGCCGCCCCCGTGCCGGACGAAACCCTGAGATCGATCGTGAACCCGCCGGTGGACCGCACGTACGTCCTTACGCCTCATTCATTGCACACGATGAACCCCTCTCCCGCGCCGTTTCCCTCCTATCCCTAAATGTCCGGGATTTAGGCACCTAACACAGATGGTCCTGAGGACCATTCGCACGCGCCCACCCGACAGCCATCACGCCCGCCTCGAGGAGCGCGGACGCGGCGGCCGTCGGGACGGATGCGTACGCCGACGAAAAGAATCAAGTTCGGGTACTACCCCGAGCGACAGTGAGAACACATCGAGCTGCGTTCATCGCTGCCTCGAGGATGTTCCCCTTTTCTGGGCGGGCCTTACCCCCTGCCCGGATCTGAGGGAATGAGTATCTGGATCCACAATAAAAAAAAACTAAATTTTAAAGTTTGTAATAATTGTTTATTATTTAATTTTTCTTATTATATAATAATAATAATAATCTGTACAATACAGCAACAAAAAACTATTCCACAATATTGCTTAAATCGGACTTATCACTACTTAAAAAAAAAAAATGAAAAAAAAAATTTTTTTTTATCAATAACATCATCACCATGATCATGATCATCATCATTATTATTATTATTATTATTTGTACAAAATCACACTTTTTTTTTATTTTTAATATTTATTTAAAAAATATTTGTTTTTTTTTTTTTTTATTATTGATATACACGTTTTTTTGTCCATAATCTATTCCTTTGTTTTTACACCTTATTAATAATAATAATAATAATAATAATAATAATAATATAACTAATCAATACCTAATCAGAGCAACTAAAAAAAAAAAATTTTTTTTTTTTATATATAATATGTATAATATAATTTACAATATACGGTAAAAAAAAAAAAAAATAATCATCAGTCGTATTAGTACGTATTTAAATATTATTTTTTGATTGTATTGCCAAATAAATTTAATTTTTTATTATAATGATAATAATAATAATATAATATAATATAAGATAACAAAAAGAAAAAATGTATTTATTTATTTATTTTTTAAAACTCCTTTTTTCCTTTTTCCTAATTTTTCTTGTTAATTTTGATAAAAAAAGGAAGAAAAAATATATTTGGCCATTAGTCGAAATAAATTAAAAAAATGAACTACAAACAAACAAACGAACAAACGAGCGAGCGAACGAACGAACAAACAACAAAAAAATTATAATCGTTCCTAATTCACCAAAAATTTTTTATTGCATTCATTTTCCTAATTTCGACTATTTATTTATTTATAATAATAATAATAATAAAACTATGTTTTTGTTTATTTATTTACATTATTATTATTATTATTATTATTATTATTATTAAAATTTTCTTTTTGCGCTTTTTTTTGTTTATCCTAAGTAAAAAAAACAAACAAACAAACAAACAAATGGAAAAAAAATTAAAAAATAAAATGAATATAATAATAATTATTAATTAACATTTACTCGTTAAAACTTACGTATTTTATTTATTTATTTACTTATTTATTAATTAATTTATTTATTAACATTATTATTAAAAAAATAATAATAATAATAATAATATTTTTTTTTTTGTTTGTTTAAAAAAATTTTTTTTTTTTGTTTTTTGTTGAGTATTTCGCTTAATTTTATAAAAATATTACTATTATCATCATTAATATTATTATTATTATTATTATTATTGTTCAAATGTATATGTACATAAAGAGCGCGTACGTGAGTGCGTACGTGCGCGAGAGTGCGTGCGGGTGTAAACGTGTATACACTTATGCATGTTTATTTATATATATATGTATATTGCACAAAATCTCAATCGTTTAAAAAATATTATTATTATTATCATTATTAAAAAATTTACATTATGTATACATATAAAAAAATTATTATTATTATTAGTAGTAGTGATAATAATAATAATAATAATAATAATAATAATTGTCGTTATAATATTATTATTATCATCAAATCAATTCCCTACTATTTCGTATCGTCTGTACAAATTTATAAAAAAAAAATTGTTTTAAAAATTATTTATTTATTTATTTATTTACTTATTTATTTATTTATTAACTCATTCATTTATTTATTTACTTATTTATAATCATCATTATCATCATCGAATTAATGAGTAATAAAAATTAATTAATAATAATAAAAAGTAATATAAAATCATTCTCCTTTCCTTGTGTTCAAAAACGTTTAAATGTCGGTAATAAATTTTTTTAATATTATCTTTCTCTCTCTCTCTCTCTTTTTGTTTTGTGAGAGAGAGTAAGAGAGATAGAGAGAGAAAGGGGGAGAGAAGAGTAGGAACAATTTTTTCTTTCTTACACAAAATAAAATTTTCGGGTTGTGAATCGAATCGTATCATTGTACAAAAAAAAATAATAATTTTTTATCATTATTATTATTGTTAATATTATTATCATTATTATTACCATTAAAGTTATTATTATTATCATTAACTATTTATTTATTTATTACCTATTTGAATGTGTTGTTGTGAAAAATAACATTAACACACACACGTCGAATCTCACAAAATTTTCACTAAAAGTTTTTTGTTTTGTTTTACGGTTCCAGACTTAAACTAAACTATAATAATAATAATAATAATGATAATAATAATAATAATAATAATAGCTATTTTATAGTCTATATTTTTATAGACCGTTATCGAATCGGAGAAAAAATGTCGAAATTAAAGGTTGATTTGATGAGTGTGTTAATGCAGTCGAGTTGTTTGGTTTTGGAAAATTTTATGGAAGATAATTTTTTTTTTCTCCAGCGTTCAAGTAATTAAAACGAGGGATTCGAAACGGTCGTGGAACCAGGAGAAAAGCGGTGGACAACATTCCGTCGCCGATGTGCTAAATGAATTTTTTGGTCACGAATCGTGTTTGTGAGATCTTATCGGTCTCCTACCGATTTTTCTCCTTTTCCTTTTCGAATCTTTTTTAAATGCTATGTTTCCAGGGTCGTCTGCTAGCTGAGGGTATTTGTGCGGATTGTGTATGTCGACACCTTCGTACGCGTCGACTTCGCCGTGTAGTAAAAGTTCTTCTTTTTCTTCTTCCGTCCAATCGCCGCGTCCCTGGAGTCCACCCGCGACCAATTGTTTTTCCATTTCCCAAGCTCTTTCCACGGCTCTCTTATGAGCGTGTTTTAATATTCTATGTCTTTCTTGATCCGGATCCGCACCGTATCTTATAAAGACGGCAGCATCCGGATTATGCAGTCTTAATTCTTTAGCACCCTGAGTTCCGTGTTCGGATATTTCGTGAGTTGAAACGTTGAACATTCCACCCAAACGACGAAGTTCTTCCATGTCGTCCCTTATTTTCAAAGGGTTGTCTTTTACAAAATAAAATACGTCTTGATTGTGTAAACTAAAATGAAGGTCTAAGAAAAATGAATTGTTGAAAACTGATGTCACGACATCTTGAACCACGCTGTTCACTCCGTCTACGACGCTGACCATGGCTCTACCGTCGACTCTCGATATCAATACACCTTCTCCGAAAACGGCACGACGATATGCTACCCTTGGTAGAAGATTTCGGGTTTTAGGCTCCATTTTGAGCAGTGGTTTTGGCACAAAACCCAAATCTGAAAATTTGTCCGTTATCTGCAAAGATAAAACAAAAAAATTCCCAATCAGAATGTTTTTACTTAAGCAGAAGACAATCATCGAGAGAGAGAGAAGAAAGACAAACAAACCTTGTGAACTATGCATTGTAATCCAGACATGATACCAAAATCGGGTGAAAGTTGCGGTGATGTTATTTTGGCAGTTGGTTTGTAAACTTGTCTTTGGGTGTACAAAGCTCCCAAAATATTATTCAAATTGTAACCGTACAATTTGAGCCAACTGTCTAATTCTGTAACGAATACGTAATGAGTTTAGAAAACAGTCTAAAACCACGTCTTCAAAAAAAAAAAAAATAATAATAATAAATATCAAACCTGTCATGTACGTTATGTTGTTCGGATTCTTCGGATTTATCGGATCGTTATTGTTAAATCTGTAAATGAAGACATCCGTGGGTGTCGTGAGTTGGTTGGCAAGTTCTTCCCAAGCTGGCGTCATCCACTGTCCGATCATTGGATCGTACCAACGTTTATTAAGATAAACTAATCCAGTATTTGGATCCAACAGTCCCCCGTGAAAATCGACGGGAAGGTAAAAGTCGGGATTTGAATCTTTCAAAACTTTACCGAAAGGTGTTCTCCTAACTTCTTTTATTATATTACCGTTCGTATCGAACAGAGCTAATGGAGAACCATTTTGATCTGATGCCACGTAAAAACGTTGTTCGCTCGTTTCAACGGTTAACAACGTTTGTTGGTCATTGTATAAAAATCTAAAAGTTCTTCCGGTTTTTGGAAAATGTACGTGCGTGATCAAATCTGGAGTTATCGGATTTGCGTAAAAATATTGTGTTATGTTTCCTCTTTCGTCGTGCCACGATATTAGCCTGCCTCTATCATCGTAATAATACCACGTTGCAAAACGATCTCTTTCGAATGCGTGTGTCATTTGAGCTTTTGAATTGTATCGATATTTATGATCCCCTCTTCTCACGACGTAGCCTCTACCGTCGTAACCGTTAAATTCAACATCTCTAAATTTTCCGACTCTGTCGCCGCTGTCGTAACCCAAAGTCATTTTTTCACCGTTTTCAAATATTCCTATTATGTTACCATTTTCGTCGTAAACGTATTTCCAATTGTTCGTACCCGTTACTTCCATGACGTGACCGTCAGCATTGTAGGTCACTTTGTCCAATATGTTTGATCTGCCGATCGATAGTTTTTGTGTTTTGATTCTGTTTCTTTGATCGTAGTCAAGTTCCATTCGATACACATCGAAGCCTTTTATGTTCATGAGTAACGTTTTTATTCGACCGTGATCATCGTAGTCGGTTATTGTAAAAAATTGTTTGGCATTGTCCTGTAACACGGATCTGTTGAAAGTGTTCTTGTACACTCTTAAGTCGGATATGCCTTCAAGCATGCCCAAGTTTTGATTGTATTTTAATCTCAATTGCGGTAGTTCTTTTCCGTCGAGTTCAACATCGATACCCGATAGCCTTGCATTACCATCGTATTGATACTTGTAATGGGCATTATTCAAACCGCTTTTTGAACCGAATTTGACTCTTTCATCTTTTAATATTCCAGAATGATATCGATATTCGATTTTCATATCGAAATTGGGTTCGATAATATCAACGTTTTTAACTAAATTTGTACTTTCTTGATATGTGTAATGAATTGATGTGAAACCGGCTAAAACGGTTTCCAATTTTCCTGTCGAATCATATACGTAAGCAACTTTACCGGATTGATGAGGACTCACTTTGGCTAATATCTGTCCATCATCGTTGTAAATAATTTCGTAAGGATGTCTGTTCATGGGTGAAAAATATTGATATTTGAAAAATCCCAATGATGTTTGTAACGAAAACCTGTGTATGTGACCTCTGGGAGTCGTCAAAGATTGCAAAGCACCAGCTTCGTCGTATTGTAAAAGGTAATCGCTACCTCGAGGAGTGGAAACCTTCGATGGCAAGCTCGTGAACATGTCTTTGAATGCGTACATCATGGAAGTTCCATCGCTGTATTTGATTTCGTTCAATCTTCCAGCTTGATCGAATGCATATTTTTCTGTTAAATCACCCCAAGTCCAACTTATCAATCTGGAAAATCTGTCGTATTCGAGGTCGACTCCGGCAAAAATTCCATTTCTCGGTCCCCATTTAATCGGACGTGCTGTTTTATCGTAGGTTACATTTAATAATTCTAATTTGTCGTCACCCATAAAAACAGCCACGGTTCCGGTTTCTCTGTCGTATTCCAACGATAATAAATTTTCACCGTTAACTCGTATTTTTCTACCGACTTGAACAATTGTTTTACCACTTTTGCTGTTGCTTTTACCGGTGGGTGCTCTTCGTAGGAAATATCGCCATTCGAAACGGTTTGCTAAATCCCCACCTATTTCAGTCTTTTGTTTTGCCGGTACAGGAAAACTTTCACCAAGTACGGGATCTAAATCGGCTAAAACCGTGTACGGTACAACTTCCGTGGCTATCGTATGACCCCAAGGCATTTTACTCCATACGGAACCGTTTTCTTCGGACATTGTTTCGTAAACGGCTTCTCCTATTTTAGTTGCCACAGACGATCCTTTAATTAGCATCGATACCGATCGTCTATTCCCTTGTGCAGCTTTAACCGTTGCTCCTTTAACGCTTAAATCGAAAGATAAATTAATGACACGACCCGTTGGAGTAACCGCTGATGTCAGCCTTCCAAATTCATCGTAGTTGTACACGTAACTTCTTCCCGTGCTATCAAGTTTCGTTTTTAACAATCCCGTAGGACCGTGATAATCAAACGTGACGTTGTAATTATCAGGAGTCGATAGTTCGTGCAACATTTTCATTCTCGACATTCGCAATCGACATTTTTGTCCTTTTGTATTTTCGATTGAATTCACTTGACTCGAGTAATCTCTGAGCAAGAATACTTTATTTCCCGATGCGTCAGTGACGGTGCTAAGCTTTCCGTTACTCGTGTTGACATTATATGTGAAAAGATACGATGTTTCTCCCGTTAATATATTTTTCGTGGCAATATGTTGACCGAACCTGAAATTTAAAATGAATATAAATTCAATTCGTAATTTTTCCCGCCAAAAAAAAAAATTTTTTTGTAATTATTTTTACCGATTAAAAATGTAAACTTCTTGAGTGTCTGGAGAATAGATTTCATATTCCCTATTTGGACTCGGTTCGGGAATGCTGGCTACTACCGAACGTATTCTATAGTTAGCTTGATCTGCAATGTGTACAGTTCCATCGGGAGTGACAGTCACTGAAGAAATAGTGTTAAATTTAGATGTCGCAGCGAGGTAATGTTCCTCCTGGAAGCAGTCACAGCCTCTGTCCAAACAATTGCATTTGGATTCTGCTCCAGCGTAGTGGGATATTTTACCGTCAGTACCTAAAAATTTTATTTATAAAGTTTTTTAAAATGTCGTATCGATAAATGTGGTATAAAAAAATAAAAAAGTTGAAAATAAACTTACTTATTACTCTGACTCTGTTTATTCTTTGAGAATCGCTTTCTGCAACGTATAAATCTCCCGATGGTCCAAAAGTGATACTTTGTGGCATAACTAAAGTGGCATGAGTAGCCAACTCGGAATGATATCCGCCTAAAGGTGTCGGACAATTAAGTGGTCTTCCAGCAACAACTTTTACTCTACCGTCTGGTGCTAATTGTAAAATCATATGATCATCTATCAAATGCAGTGAACCATCAAGAGGATTGATGGCGAGTTCTGTCGGCCATCTTAAATGTACCTGACATAAAAATTACTTTTAGTTAAGAATTGTTTTTTAAAATTTAAAAAGATTTCATCGCAAAATTTATTCATTTACTTCTTCTTGGTTGAGTGTTCCTTCGCAGGGAATGGGTTTCCAGTGAGATTTATGCATGTGATTCCCAATGACGGTAGTGACGATTCCATCCCGATCGACCATTCTTATATTTGTACCATCAGCAAAATAAAGTACGTTGTCTGCGGATATGGCAATTCCTTTCGGATACGCTAGTTTTGCATCCCTTGCCAAAGCTCCATCGCCACAATGAGCTTCATCTCCTGGTAAACATCTTTCACCGGAACCAACAACGGGTTCCCAATTGTGATCAGGATCGGTATAATCATCGATGCTTTTTATTTTAATTATTTGATGAGATTCCGGATCGGAAATGTAAACGGATTGATCCAAAGGACTCAAAGCTAGATGGTATCTGTAAGATACTCTGGTAGCACTGGAAAGGAAAAATAAAAATTGTAAAACCGGAAGACACTTCCGCCAAATATTTTCTTTTTAAACTTAATGGCCTTACTTGAGCCTCACGACGGTTTTAACAGTTCCATCGGTTAAAATTCTTCTTATAAGATTAAAATCTCCAACAAATATCGAACCATCTGGAGCGGCAGCTAAAGCGACCGGTGCTAAAAGCCTTTGTTTTTTTCCAGCGTGACCATCACAATCGTGACATTCTAATGCTCTTTGATGACCGTCACCCATTGTTGTTAAAATAACTCTGGGTTTGTGTTTCAAGTAAATATTTGATCCATCACCCTTTTGCAGTATACCTTCACACACAGAAAAAAAAGTTTCGGATTGATTTTGAAAAAAAAAAAAAAAAAAAACAAAAATGACATTAATCAGTCAAAGGTATTACCTTCGTGAAAATTGTATCTGTGATGAATGTCCAAATTCCAGCCGCCGACTTCCGAAATGGACATATCATGCCCCGATAATTTCGTTGTTTGCACATCCCAAATAATATCTTTACAATCCGAATACTCGTAACCGACTCTCACCAATGCCGTCGTGACACCATAAACTCTTTGCCTGCAAAAAAAAAAAATTTCCACGTATAAAAACTTTCCTGGACAAACAGGAAATTAAATTTTTTTCTTAAAATATCTACCTGTAAACGTTCAACCTGTTCCAGGCATAAGTAAATTTAATTATTGGATCCGCTTCAAATGTTTTTTCGAACAAAATACCCTCGATCGTTATTCTAAGGTGTATTAATTTTAACGTCGAAGGAATTACTTCCGGTGTCAATTGCAATTGAATCGTCGATAGGTATCCCGCCGCACGACTGCTGTGGTATACTAAATTAAGACCGGTACCTGGTATCTGCAAGCTTTCTTGCACGACCTGAAATTTTTTTTTTTAAACATAATTTTCATTTTTAATGACGACATACGGTTTGTTAAAAATTTTCCTTTTCAATCACCTGTGATTCGGCTAATATGGCGCTTTTATCGGGACATGCCCCTTGAAAACCGTGTTTCCATGTTGCGAGTACAACAGGTTTCATTACGTCATAATCATGCGCCGAACATGTTTGAGGAGCTAAAGATATTGATTTATCCTCACCCATGCTCATGACTACGTTGTCCATAATGACGATCTTCAAAAAAATTATTATTATTATTACGTTGTTTTCTCAATAATATGACCTCATCGATTTTTTACTCACCTCGTTCCAAGGTATCATAAGTATTCTGCTTTGGGGTCTGAAAGGAGATCGTCCGAATTGTAAAGTGACAGCACCTCCTCCATTAACTAAAAGATCAAACCAACCATCTTCTCTCGTCAATGTGAAACCTTCTAGGGGTGTGCTCGTACTAACACGAACCCCCATCAAACCGATTCCTAAGGGTGTTGTCACTTTCCCACGAACAACAGCAGATCGACTAAAATTAAAATATATAAAAAAACATAATGATAATTAATTTCATTTATATAAAATTTTCTAATATCCGACGCCACCATCTTTGACTAAGTAAGGCTAAAGAAAAATTTTTTTTTAATTAAATTATTTTTTCTTTTTAATTTTCTCCTTGAAATCCCCTCCCTCCCCCCCGAAAAAAATATTTTAAACATAAAAAAAACAAAAGCATTCGACAATATTAAAAAAAGAATGAAAATATAAGCGAACATAATTTTATTAGACGAATATACGATTTGGAAGGATGGAGAGGGTATGGGAGGGGAGGTGAGAGTATTTATCGGTTGTGTTTGTTCGACAAACATGCAAAACAAACGAACAATTTTATCGCATTCACACAATAATAATAAACAATGAAGAAAAGAAAGGAAGAAAAAAAAAAGTAAAATCGATCGTTCAAAAAAAAAAAAGGAAAAACACACGACAGAACAACAAAAAAAAAACGGGGGACCCGAAGAATAATGGCGGTTAAAAAAATTTTTTTTTTTTTTTGAAATGAATAACTTACCTAGAATTGAAGTGATTCCAAAAAACGCTGCGGCACGAAAGAACAAATAACAAACATAAATTCGATAGAACATTCAAAACAATCAACAAATAAACTACATGTTTAACGTATACAAACGTATATTTGGTTTTTAGGAATTTAATGACTAAGGGCACAACACTGCCGTATTAGAATAGTAGTATGAAAGAAAAAAACTTATTATTATTATCATTATTATCATTATTATTTTCATTGTTTTGTTTATTAAGCGAAAAGCCGTTACGAATATACGATTATCGTATTTAAAATATTGATTTTATTAGTGTGCCAGCCACCATTATAATCATTATTATTAATTTTTTTAAATTGCAAAATAAAGAAAAACATTAACAAACAATGTTTGTCGTTGTTGTTGTTTTTGTTGTTAACATAAAAACCAACGATAAATATACATTTAAATTAAGTGTGAAAACATAAATTTTTTTTTTGTTATAGACTCGCACACGATTTTACATATAATATTCAAGCAATTGTGTTTAGATAAAAAAAAAAAAATTTAATTTAATTTTTTTTTGCAGTGGTACCAACCTTTCGTTGAAATTTTCTTGTTTAGCATAATTTTGAAGACTTCCTTCTTCTATTAAAAATTTTATTCTTTCGAAAAATGATGCCGTTACCGCAGGGGGTTGTTTTCTCAATAGTATATCTATGGGTTTGGGTGCCGTAACGCAATGTTGATTCCCTCGACAGTGATGACTGTTGCAACAATCCGGATCTTCGCAGTCTACCAAACCGTCTGAAAAAATTTTTTTTTTTTGTAATATTGCCAACTTGTGATAAGTTAAACATTTTGTACGAGAGATAAAAACCTTTGTCATTGTCTCTTGAGTCGTTACAACTTTGTTCCAAAAGAATTCCGCAGTCTTTTCCATTCCATCCGTCGTAACATTTACATTCCCATGTTCCAACGGTATTGACGCGACATTGACCGTGTCCGGAACAACCGGAAGGACATCCTTCTAACGTGCAATGTTTTCCATTCCATCCCGTGACGCATAAACAGGTACCGTTTTTACATTGACCGTGTTCGTTGCACCTATAAACGATCAATTTTTGTATTTTTCTGTTTTTTTTTCGGAATCGATTTTTTTTTAAAAAATGGAAATTATGAACGCGTACCTGGAATCGCATTGTTTCAAACTGCAATATTCTCCAGACCAACCGTTATGACAAACGCATGAATCACCAACGCAATGTCCGTGAATTCCACAATCCAAATCGCACAATTCTTTAAAAAAAAAAAAAAAAATTTTCCGTTATTGATTTTTTACTTTATTAACCCCCCTCCCCCCTCCCCCCAAAAAAAAAAAATTATTATTATTATTTATTACCTTTTGAGCAATCGTCACCAGACCATTTAGGTTCGCAGGTACACGTTTGAGTTTCGAGATCAAAAGTTCCGTGTCCGGAACAATCCGGAAGACACTGTAAAGCTTCATTGTCCATTGTTGAACAATCAGATCCTTTCCAACCTTTTTTACACAAGCAAATTCCATCCAAACAAAAACCGTGTCCGGAACATGTCGGATGCGGACAATCAACTGATAAAACAAAAAATTTTTAGTTTAAATAAATAAAATTTCGTAGAGAAAAATGAAAAAAAAAAGAAAATTTTTTCTAACCTTCTTCGCAAAATTTTCCTTTGTATCCTCCGACGCAAACGCATTTTCCATTAAGACACTGTCCGTGTCCGTTACAATCTGGAACTTCACATTCATCGTGTCTTAAACTACATTCTTTACCTTTCCATCCGGGATTACACTGGCATTCTCCATTTATGTATTCTCCGCGTTGACTACATAAAATCGGGCAAACACCTAAGGGTAGGGGGGAAACAAACATTTAAAAAATTTTCCGAACAAACGCGACGAAAAAAAACAGGTTTGCCAGATTTTGTATACTCACTGTCCGCACAATCTTCTCCTCCGAAACCGGGATTACATTGACAGTGTCCCAAAAGGCACTCCCCCTTTCCGCTACATCCATTCGGACAATTTTGCGTCATGTCTTCGGCAATACCAGCGGTAAATGATAATTCTTGTGGATCTCCATCGTCATTGTACAATGATAAAAACCAATGACCTTGTTCCATAAAATATTTCGTGTCTTTTTTAACGGTCAACTACAAACACAAAAAAAAAAAACATTTTCATTATCAAATGAACAAACAAACAAGCAAACAAACAAACAATCCGAAAAACTCACGTGTGATCCTCTTTTGTTTCTCGTTTTAAAACCGCTGAGTACTTCAATGATATCATATTGAGTGTGAGTTGGTAAAGCATCTTTTCTCGCGTATACCCCTATGCTGGCACCTCTGGGTATGCTAAAATCAAATTTAACATATGCGGATTCCGATTGATAAAATTGCATGTTCCAGTAACTATAAGCCGCTATGACTTTAGATAATTTTTGTCCTAATGATATCTGACCGAAAGTTGTACCATCCGGTGGAAATGATTTTGCCGGAAACGTTCTAGCTCCTAAAAAATTTTTAATTTAATCAAAAAACAGGAAATTTTTTTTTTTTTTTTTTAAAAACGGAAGTGAAGGAGAGTAGTTGAGGAAAAGTAAAAATTCTCCAGCGTTCCAGTTTTATTTAAAAAAAAAAAAAATCGATTTTGATCTTTCCGAATGCGGTCCCTCCAACATTTAACGTCAATCAGTTCGTTTTACTTTCAGTTGAAAAATAAATTGTTAAACGAACTATATATAACATCAAATTTGTTCCATTGTCCCTTTTTTTTTTTTTTGTCGGTTTGGCGACAAAATTTTCACAACCCCCCGCCTCTCTCCCCCCGGAACGTGTTTCTCGCTTTTCTTTCCCTCCTCCCATTTTTTTCCCCATTTAAAATTACCCGAAAAAAAAAAAATTTTTATTTTTATATCAATAAATCGTAGCAAAAAATTATGTATGTATATAAATGAAAAAAGCAAGAAACGTAAATTTAAATTTTAATTTTAAAAAAATTCCAGAACGTTTTTTTCCAGCGGCAAAAAAAAAACTGGAGAAGAAAAGAAAAGGAAAGAAAAAGAAAATTTTTTTTTCGATGATGCCCGTAAGCATCGACGTGTTGTGAAGTAAACATTAATATAAATTATTAGTTTCTGGTAGTGACGTGACGGTAATCAAAATATTATTATTATTATTATTATTATTATTATTATTACAAACCTGAAATCGTTTCGGATGAATTTTTTTTTAAATAAACAAACAAACAAACAAAGATTTTTGTTGTTTTTGTTTTGTAATTCGATGATTGTGATTTTGTTTTGCGTGCGCGTATTATATATAATAAATTTAAATAAAAATAATAATGATGATAAAAACTAAAAAACTTATCGAAAAACAAAACATTTCTACTACTCCTACTACTACCACTACTACTACTACCTCTACTACTACTAAACTACTAAAAAAACAAACGATAATGTTAAATTATAAAAAAAAAAGGTTTAAAAAACAAGAATTTTTTTAAAACTAAATTAGAAAAAGAGAAAAAAAATAAAAAAACTTCATGCACCCAAATTATTATTATTACTATTATTAATATTATTATTATTATTTTATTACGGTAATAATAATTAATTTAGAAAAAAAAAAAAACTGATGGATACACGCTACTAAAATTAAATAATGATAAAACCACGACGAATTAAAAAATTACCAAAAAAAATTATTATTATTATTATTATTATTATTACTTTTTATTACTCGTAATTTTTTCCCCACCCCTCTTGTTCCAACTTGACAAAAAAAAGCCAAAAAAAAAATTTACCACCGTTTAAATTTTAGGGTAATATGCCGCACGTAAAAAAATTTACTGTAAGCAAAAACCCGCGCAAAAACAAACAAACACACGCGCGCACCCGCACATAAGCGAATGAAAATGATTTTATGAATGCGTTGATGATTGTGTATGATTGATTGATTGATTGATTGATCATGAGTAAGAGAGAGAGGGAGGGTGAGAGAAAGATTCCATCGCATTTGTTTGCTTTTTCACTTAAAAAAAAAAAAAAAGCTTTTGGGGATCGAACACATTGTGGATTAAGATTTTATGTTTTGAATGAAACATGGCGATGAGTGATGATGAAAAACATAAAAAAAAGGGGAAAATGTAAAAAAAAAAAAAAAAATCTGGAAGTGACGCATTTCCGATCCCAAGGAATTATCTGCTACGTCATAATGAAAAGAAAATTTTTTTTTTAAAATGTTAATGCGTTGGTAAGCGACAGTCAAAATTTTAGCATAGCTACGAATATTACACAAAGCTATTAAATGACGTCATAGTCGGGGGTGGTGGTGATGGTAGTGGGGGTACCGATTTGTCCGTTAGCAAATAATTCATTGGGATGGTTAATCAAAACACAACATCCTCACCTTCAAGTACGAGAATCATCGGCGGCGGAGGTGTCACAACAGGGCATCCAACATTTGAATCAGATGAATTTTCTATATCGTTCCCCGTCGTTACTTCCACGTCGTAATTATAATCAGTTATCGTCGATGATTCTGATGATGACTGGGTTGACGATTCATCATAGATTTCATCTGTCGCCGATTCCACTGTCGTATTATTATTATTATTTTCATAAAAAACATTCGTAAAATCGGTCATTGTACTACTGATCACATCTTCGGTTGTTGTTGTTGTTGTTGCTTCCGTTGTGGCATTGTTAACAACCGTCTCGGTTGAATACTCATCAACAGTCGTGGTTAAATTTTCCATTTTGTTCGTGTCAGTAGTAGAATCGTAAACTTTCATGTTTCTATATTCGTTTGTCGTACCGATGGATGTCACGACGTCATCGTTCCAACCAGCATCCAAACATGGGCAAGAACATTCGCATTGACCACCGATAAAATATCCGATTCTCGTTGTCATACCTTGAGTTGATGACGTAGTTGGTGACGTAGTAGTGCGTAAAAAAGAATAAGATTCGGTTGAATTGTATTTATTAAGACTTCCGTTTGAAAAAATTATGGAGTCGTCGTCGTCGTCATTGGGGTGGTGGGAACGCGAAAAATTTCCAAAAGATAGTAAATTTTTCTTATCAACGGATTTTCCGTTTGTTGTCGAACCGGAAACGCGTAATAAATTATTCCTTTGATAATTTAACCCGTTTTCATCTTTATAAAAATTATTTTTTTCAACGTTCGATTGATTTTTACCTACTCCGACATTTTCATTCGTAATATTAATATTTAAATTTGTTAGTTTCAAACTTTCATGCGATTTAATATCATGCATGTGTGACGTCACGTTATTAATCCTTTCTCTAGACGATGGCAAACGTTCCGCCATGATTGTTTTTAAATCGTTATCGAGTTTATTTAAATCGGGTCTTTCCTTTTCGTTCATTTCCGTTTCCTTTTTTACTTCATCCCCATTCGATTGTCTTATTATTCTCTGTATGGTTTTTTCGTATTCTGTTTTTTCTCTCATCGGTGACAATTCTAATGATTCGTCGTCATTGACGAACCTATTTCCGCTGCTTCGAGAAACGGGTACATCGTCAACAGACTTTTCCGTTCTGTTTTTATCCGGTGTGAAATTTGGTTTTTTCAAGTAATATTCTTCTGGTGGCATTAAAAAGAGGAGGGGATGACGTCGACGAGGAGGATTTGACGAATTCAATTTCACATTTCGCGTTGTCCCGTTGTTTATCGTATCCGTATTGTTTTTATCACGTGATCCATATTTCGTCATATTATAATTAACCGTTAAAACACTTTTGTCATGCTCATGCTGATTCGTGGTGTCGGAAATATGTGCTTCAACTACAACTTCATGCGGGTTACTAATAACAATACCTCTACGCAAACGAATTTTAAAAGGAAAATCATTTTTTTTAATTGTTACATCGGTTGGTTGCCTACCTCCCGAAGGTAGAGATTGTGGTCTTTGTCGATTTATCAACGATGTTCTATTATTATTATTATGCGAGATATCGGTCGAACTTTTCGAATATAAAACCTCCGTGTTTTCACCCACAAGCACGGAACATGCTTTAGCATTTTGATATGACCAGTCTAAGAAGTTAGCAGCTAAAAAACAATTTTACAACGTTAAATTTTTTAATAAAGCTTTTTCAATTTTCATTTTTCATTTTTCTTTTATTATTATTATTATTATTATTATTAATATAAAAAAGAACAAACAATATAAAAATTATTATTATTATTATTATTATTAAAACGATGTTAAAAAACGAAATTTTTTTAATAAAAAAAAAAGACGAAACAAATAATTTTCATACAAAGAATGAATGAAAAAGAAAAGCAAAAAAAAAAAAAATCGAACGGCAGTGACGTATGCAGACAAAAAAAAAGCATTTCCGTTTTATTCGGGGAGTCGAATTTTTTTTTTTTATTTAAAAAAGGAAAATTATTTTATGTCAAATATCATTATTATGTGGCATTTTTTTATTTATTATTGTTTTTTCGCGCGAAAGGGGCGTACAGGTACGAAATAATAATAATAATAATGTAAAGAATTGTTTCGACTTACCTAACATGTAAGTAACGGCTGCCAATAATACAACCGATAATATAATAAATATAATAGCCGTTCGCTTCCACGAACAACTCGTAAACCCTTTTCTAAATTGAAATCTCGACGGAGGAAAATGAGTTGAATTCGGTCGTCGTAAATTGTTACGGACGGGAAGTACTGGAACTGGAGTTCCAAATGGTAATGAACACCGATCAGAATTTTTTTGCTGATGATTTTCTAACATTTTCGACGGGCTACTACACGATGAATTCGATTTGTAATCTAATGGTGATTTTTTTATCGGTATATCTAAATCCCAAAAACAAAATATTAACCGGATATCCGGTTTGAAAGAAAAAAGGAAAAGTTAATCGAATAAATACTCACCTGTGGGTATGTAAACGTTTCCCGAAGGTGTCCGCACGAGGCACGATGGCTCAAAATCGTCATCCCTATCTACGGAGCCCATAAGGCCACCGGGCCTACCGTTTAAACGGCTCATTGAGGGATTTCTTGGGGGTACATCTGGAGGATCGTTATTTAAAAGACAATCTGGAAAAAAAGAAAAACAAAATGGCGTTTAGTTGATGATTATGATGACGTCATATAATCTCAATTTAAAATCATCGAATTTTTTTAAATCAATTGTTTCCTTTTTTTTCCCTTTTTTTTCCTTTGTGATAATTTAAGGAAAAAAAAACGGAAACATTTTTTGAAATAATAATAATAATGATAAAGAAGTCAATTAAAAAAATATAAAAAAAAAGAAAATTTTATGCGAAACGTTTTTCCTTTTTTTTTTTTTTTTTATAATTGGATTAAAAATTATTTTTCAAAACAATGAACTCCGGGGTTTGAAAAAAGGAAGGAAAGAAAAGGAAAAAGGGATTAAAAAAGGAAAGAAAGGAAAAGGTGAAAGATAAATTTTACCATTGAGAAATGACGATTCAACCGAAAATAATAAAGAAAAAAGAATTAAAAGAAGTTTTTCTACTCGATAGTCGTCGTCGTCGTCGTGACGTTTGAAAAAAGTCACGTAAAAAAAGTTGGAAAAACTTTTTTTTTGTTTTTCCAAAAAAAATAAAAAATAAAATAAAACTTATTCAAAATCCTGGAAAAATCCACATTCACTGGAGAAACTAATAATAATAAAAAAGGTTTTCTTTTTTTTTTACGGGGGGGTTGGGGTTGGGGAAATTTAAAGAATCAAACACACACACAAAAGAGCTGATGTTAGCGATACGAAAGTAAAATTGCATGAGAAAGAAAGAGAAAGTTAAAAAAAAAGTAGAAAAGTAAATGAGAGTACGAAAGAAAGAAAGTAAAAGAGAGAGAGAGAGAGAGAGAGAAACGAATTCAAAGACAAGTTTACAACGAATTTTCAACTTCCTTTTTTTTCTCTCTCTCTCTCTCTTTTCCATTTTCATTATATTTCTCAACCGTCTTTTTCCCTTTTAAAAAAAAAAGAAAAGTTTTCTCGAATTGTAGTAAAGTGTACCATACCAAGTTGTTGTTGTTGTTTTTTCTTCCTTTTGTAAAATTTTCCTTTGGCGCATTTTCATTCGTAGAAAACATTTTCCGACTCCCTCCCCCTTCCCTTCACCCGTCTTTTATTTTCTTCGCCGACAAAACCAACGAATTAAACGTAAAAATCATTCGACCATATGTTTCTTCCACGACGCAAAATATCTTCTTCTTCTTCTTTTATTATTTATTGTCGTGAAAATATGGGAAAATTAAAAAGCGAAACCAAAAAAAAAATTTCCTTTTTTTTATGTCTTATTTTACAAAAGTTTATCGAAAGCAGAAGAAAACAAAAAAAAAATAACGAAACAAAATCGAAACCAAAGATTTTTTTTTTTGCGAAAAACGTCACGAAAGGTTATTTACTCCTGGACAATAATTTTCCAACGGAAAATTTTAAATTTGAAATGTCATGCAAACGAACGTTTAATTTTATTGTTATTATTATTATTATTATTGTTTCATTAAGAAAATGCCAAACAACCGATGACGCGTTTGAAAACGATAATAAAACAACAACAACAACAATAAAGTTTGAGTTTAAATTTTTTTTTGTTTGTACTTAATATACGCCGCCGCTTTTATTAATTTATTTGTTTTTAAAAGAGGAGAGAGAGAGAGAGAGAGAGAGAGAGTGAGAGACAGAAAAAAAGGAAAAAAAGAGACACAGAGAGAGAGAAGAAAGAGTGTATGAAGAGAGATACATAAAAAGGAAGAAGTGGAAAAATAGGGAAGGAAAAATATGAGAGACAAAGAGAGCGAAATACAGAAAAAGAGAAAGAAACAGAATTACAGAAAGAGAGAGAGAGAGAGAGAGAGAGAGGAAGTTAAAAATCGTAATAAAAATAATTTTCATCGTGACAAAATTTTTTTTATTTCTTTCTTTCTTTTTCTTTTCCTTTTTTTTTTCTCTCCATTTTAACATTTGTGAAAAAATTTATAACGTTGGAAAAACTAAAAATCGGACCCGAAAAAAAAGAAAATTTAAGAGAGAGAGAGAAAAGGAAGCAGAAAAAGAAAAAATGAAAAAAAAAAAAAAAAGTTTTTCATTCCGCAAAATGCGATGAAATCGCTTTTCTCCATTTCAAGAGTTCATTAATCATAAAATATGGCGAAACCGGGTGGCGGTGGCAACGATTCCGACGATGAAAATAGAGGTGGAGGGGGGTAGTGGTGGTTGTTGTTCAGCTCTTGTTCGAAAGTAATAATCTCTAAAAATGAATCCGAAAAAAAAAAAAATGGAAAAATGATTTTCGAAAAGAGAGAGAAAAAGAGAGAGAAAAAGAGAGAGAGAGAGAGTGTGAAACTCTCGCATAAAAAAAAATCCCTAAAAACGCGCGTGAGTCGATATAAAATAAAAACAAATTCTTACAAAAACTAATCATTGACATTATTCTCTCTCTCTCTTTCCAGTCTCTCGCTCTTCGGATTTCCAGTCGACTGGAAATCCAAAAAAAAAAAAATTTTTTTCCCGTTACGGTAATATTAAAAATTAATAAGTAAAATAATAGATTTCGAAAAAAAAAAATGAATAAGGGATGATTTTTGCGGTTAAAATCTGTCGTTACGATTCAAGTAATTCATACATAAGAATACACATAACCCGAAAGGGATTTGATTTCTCCAGAGGGTGTTTTCTCTCTCTCTCTCTCTTTCTTTTTCTCCAGTGAATGATAGAGTTCATTTTCCACGGGCCATCAATCAGCTGAATCATTGCAATTTTCTTATATACAATTAAACTATCTACCATGTAGAAAAAAAGGGAAAATTGATTGATGCTCTCTACTCTCATCTGGAACAATAGTGTCAATTTTTTTTTTTTCTTCCCATTCTTATCACTGGAACGAAACATTATAAAATTGATATCTATGACGTATATTATGACGTCACAATATCGTTTCGTTTAAAATAAAAACAAAAATTTTTTAAACTTTTTTTAAAAAAAAAAAAAAAAAATTTCGATTTAACTTTTAAAAAAAAAAAGTAAAATTTTTAACTTTACCCCCCTCTCCCCGCCTCCTCTTCCTCCCCCACACCCTCACCACTTTTTCCTTTAAATAATCCTTTTTAACCTTTTTTTTTTCGTCTGCTTTACTTTTACCAGCCGATAAGAATTTTTTTTTTTTCCGATGGCAAAATTTATTTTATTTTATTTTTACTTTTACTTTTTACAATTTTTCTACTTTCGACAACGTAATATTGTAAAGATTTTATGCTCAGGTCGAGAAAGAGAGTAAGAAGGGGGGGGGAGAAAAGAGCGTAAGAAGGGGGGGGGGAGAAAAGAGCGTAAGGAAGGGTTCGATGGTAAAAAGACGTACAAAAAGGGATGGAAAAAAAAAATTGAGAGATAAGAGGAGGAAGAAAGTGGAATAAGAAATAATAAAAAGGAAATGGAAACGAGATGAGAGGGGTGGGGGCGGGAAGGTTAGAGAAAATCCGGCGGCAGTAGCAGCAAAAAGGAGGGGGTGGGGGGTGAGGAAGGAAAGGGAAAAAGAAAAAAAATTTTTTTTTTTCGGGGGGAGTTTTTTTTTTATTTTATTTTATTTTTTTTTTTTGTTTAACTCCGAGAAAATGAATTGATCTTATTATCTTGACAAATTTAAAACTTTCTAGAATAATCTTCTGATTTATAATTTTATTATTATCATCATCATCATCATCATCATCATCATCATCATCATCATCATCATCATCATCATTATTATTATTATTATTAATTTTTTTTTTTTTGTTAAAGTCATTATCAGTAAAGGATTAAAAAAAAGGGAGAAAAAAATTTTTTTTTATGAGTTTTCCGATGGGAAATTTTTTTCTTTTTCTTTTAAATAAAAATCTTCATTTGAATCCTTACCCCCTCCCCCTTTCTCAACCCCCCCATTTTCTTCTCCGTCTCTCTTTTCTTTAAACTTTTTTTTTTATTAATTTTATTAAAAAAAATTGTTTGGAAATTCTAATGAACGGGTTTTGTGGTGATGAGAGCGATAAAGAGAGAGAGAGAGGGGGAGGGGAATAAAAATGGCGGACGATGGGTGGTAGTGGTAGTGGTGGCAAAAAAAATTTATTTAAATTATTTAATTTTACTTCGTGCGTACGTGTGTGCGTGCGCGTGTAAACTGAGAGGCAAAGAGAGAGAAAGAAAGAGAGAGAGAGAGAGAGAGAGAGAGAGAGTAGAACAAAAATTCACTTTTTGGCTTAAATAAAAAAAAAATCTTTGAGACTTTTTTTTTATAAAAAAAAGATTTAAAAGAAAACAAATCTAATCTTTTTTTTTCTATACTATCATCATCATTATTATTATTTTAAAGTATTCAATCTCTCTCTCTCTCTCTCTTGTAATGGAACATTCGTGAAAACACGCGTTGTTTTTCCCACATGAATGGAATATAGGGCAAGAGCGGTGAGATATTCGTCACATGTATAAATCTATCGATTATACCACAAGTACGAGAAAAATTTCTTCACCATCATCATCATTATCTCTTCTTCTTCTTCTTCTATCTCATCATACTCATCATCTTTTATCCTTTTTCTTTTTTTTTTTATAACAAAAAAAAAAAACCGACCCGAAACGGCGGGTCGGTTTTTAATGAAATATTTTCAATTTCATGCCTCGTTCGTCTCCCCGCACTCTCTTTCTCTCTCTTTACCGTTTCTCTTAAAACGTTTCGCTCCTTATTTTAATATTAAAAAAAGAGAGAAAGAGAATAGGAGTGAGAGTGAGAGAGTGTGAGAGAGAGAGATAGAGAAAGATACGAAATGAAAAAAAGGAAAGGGTTTTCATAGTCATAAGCAAAATTTCTCAACGAGAAAATTATTATTATTTTTTTTTTGAAAATTGCGTTTCTCTCTCTCTGTCTCTGTCTCTCTCTCTATCTATCTATCTACCTCTCTCTCTCTCTCACTCGAAAAAAAAAAAAAACAAAATCTTCTTATGATTTCAATTAGATGGTAAAGAAGATTATTGCTTTTCCTTGCTCA